GCCAGATGTCATAGAAAGTAGTGTACTAATTTGTTTATCATCATTTTCAGATTTTATGCTATCATCATCATAATTATTATCAATATTTAAAGGCTTAAAAAATATACTTGGGGACTTAACATTGTCTTCATTTAAAATCAACCCAACTAAGATATCTGCAGCTTTTTTAGGCTCTTTTATTATATTATCTAGATTGATTATTTGTATTTGAATACTATTTTGTTGATTATAAAATTGTAAAAAATCGTTCAATTTTTCATTGTACATTTCATCTGCGTGGCTTATGATTTTAATGCAATTTGTCAAATAAGTATTTGAAACAGTGTACATATTTTCACTATCTTGGTACTCAGGAACTATACTAGACTTTTTCTTGGACTTTTCACATATTTCTTTTCCAAAATATGGCATTTTACCAGTTAACATAAATTCAAGTAAAGCCATTTGTAGAGGCTGAACATGGAATTGTAAAAGTATCCAACCATTTATTCCTTGATTTAATTTTATGTATTCTCCTATGCAGTTTATTTCATCTCCAATTTGTAAATCATGATTTTTTTTTTGTTTTTCATCAATTATTTTTCCTAAATTGGCTATTGAACTTAAGACAGGATTGTTGTAATCAGGTTCTGGAATATTTTCTGGCGTTTGAATAAGTTTATTTATAAGCTTTTTATTTGTTCTATAAATCAATTCTTCACTGCTGTTTGATCCACTTGTAGTTATAGATGAGGTTATAACTGACATACTATTTATTGAATCATCCTCTGTTCTTTTTTTAACTTCTATAAACAGTTAAAGATAAATATTTATATAAATTATTTAGGTATTTATTATTTATGGTCCCTGTAAACATGTAATTTTTAATATGTAATGTAGACTGTAAATGCTATTCATTCTTGCGTTACATATGGAAATGGCTTGTATTTATGTGAGTAAGTAGTAAATCCAGTAGGTAGTAAATTATTATTATGATGTGTGTATCTAGTATCTACTATTTAATTATATCACACATCCGATAGTATTCACATGTAATTTGAGCTAGATATAGTTCAAAATATTCAAAACAAATTTATGAATTTAAAATAGTTTTAGCCAGGAAAAAATTGTTTGTTTGATTTATAAAATTAAAATATGTTTGAATTCTTAGACAAGTTGACTTGCGTCAATAGGGAAATTGTTTTTTTTATTTTATAAAATCGTTTTAAAAATAAAACGTTAGAAATTAAGTATTTTAATGTTTGTCAGTTTCAAAATTAAATAAGAAATAAAAAAAGTAATTTTGTTTTAAAGTGTCTGCTGTTTCTTAGCTGACTGGAATTTTTGGCTTACATTAAGGTTATTTTGATAAAAAATGTCAAGAGAGATTTACAGTGGTCTAATATATTGAGTAAATTGTATTATAAAATAAATATAAATACATATAATATAGCCTATGGGGATAAAACTACTGTAAAATAAACAGTAGGTACCATTAGAAATATTTAAAATATAAAAAAGCTTTTAGTAATTTCTCCCGTTTGTTTTAAGTAGGCAAGGTACTTAGGTACCTATATAGATAAAAATTGATTTGTTATTTTAAAATATTTACCACTTTTATTATAATCTGAATCTTTTTCTAGTTTCTTACTCTTACTATCTTCTGCTGTAATACTGGCATTTTCTGAGAGATTTTCATATACTTCCACAACTTGATATAGTTTACTTTTATTTATTGAAATCTTCATTTCTTCATTATATGCATTAAGACACGCTGATAATGCATCTGCGGCAGTAAAACCTAATATTCCTTTATTTCGTAAGTTGTCTTTTATAAATTTTACCACTTTTGTATTATGTATTACATCAATTATCCCAGCTACATTTGTGTTTTTTATTTTAATAAATTTAATTTCACTTATACCATATTCAAAATTCAAAACTTCTTTTATTATCATTGATAGAATGTTTTGTTTGAATTTAAATGAATCTACATTCAAATATTCAGAGGACCAAGATCCTGTGTGTTGTAAATATTCATTAAAAATATCTTGTTTCACAAAGTGTTCGTTCTTAAATTCATCTAATCCTTGAGTGATAATAGATTCTTCTATTTTCAAACTACTAATTGTTGAGCTATGATTTTGTAAGTCTTCTTGAGATACTAAGTCAATATTTTGAATGACATTTTCCAATTTTGTGGTTGTGAAGTTTTTATTATCAGTTAATATGTTATTTTCTTCTTCTATATTAAGAATATTAAACAGTTCATTTCTGCATAATATTTCATTAGATTTTTCGATGAGTTCATTTTTTTTTTTTTTTTTAAACTCATAGTAAATAGATCATAAAAACTATTCATATTATGTTCCAACATCTTTAAACCATTGCCTTTACATGTATTGATACAATTTGTTGATTTTAAAACATCAATAGCATTGTTTGAAATACCATCTACATTAGAAAATAATTTAGAAACATACCAATATTTTTCATGGTTTGCATCTAGGCTTTCTTTATTATTTATTTCTTTCTGATGTGACAAAAAAGTATTATTATTTTTACATATATTTACTATGATATTGTTATTTAATTTTTGATTTTCCTCAACATTGATATAATTCAATATATTGTATTTTTTTGACATTTCTAACTTAAAGTATAATTTGTATAAAAGTGTTGTAACTGCAAGTGATTGACCACGAGATATTTCACAAATAGTACTATCTTCAATAATAATTTCCAGAAATTGCAGCCACATGTTTATACTTTTCATATTGCTCAAACATATATCATAATGATTAGATTTTTTAAATACATGCACATACTTTTCAGGCATTACTTGGTATTTCTGAAATAAAAGTGCAAACAGAAAACCGTCTTTGAACTTCTCACCTACATTATTAAAGTTTAAATTCTGACAATAATGTGTTCCAAGTTTACATGTTAGCCATTCTTGTAATATGTTAAACATTTTGTTAAAAAATTACATAAATATTATTTAGGTAGGAAATAATTAACCAAGGTACTTTGTTATTATTTGTCTAATATATATAAAAAACAACTGATGATCACTATAGTAATCATTGTTTCATAATATATTACAGAGGACCATTTAGCTTGGTTAAAAGATGTGTTCATCGTCAAACTGGACAACAATTTGCCGTTAAAATTGTTGACGTAGCAAGTTTCACATCAAGTCCGGGTTTAAGCACATCAGGTATTTAATCTTTAATTTTATTTAAAATACCTATTGGTAAAAAAATGTATTTTTATCACAGATTTAAAACGAGAAGCAACAATATGCCACATGCTAAAACATCCTCATATTGTGGAATTACTGGAAACATATAGCTCCGAAGGAATGTTATATATGGTTTTCGAATAGTAAGTTTTTAATATATTATATAATTTTTAGTTAAAGCAGTGTGGTCAGTATTTGTATTGATGAATGTTTATAATAAAAGGGATAAAAATGTATTTTATTAGAAGAGGTGTTCACTGTTTGTGAATTCTAATATCAATGAGGATTATTTTAACATGATTATTTGATTTTAAGTTTAAATATCTTTGGGTAATAGACATTTATGTACCTACTTAATTTTGATATTTTTTTGTTATCCCAACTACCTCGAGTCTCAATTTTGTTATCTCGACTACCACGTCTATGCCGCAACTACCGCCAGTTCTATATCTCAATTACCGCTGTCATTTCCGTTGTCTGCACTGTCATCTACACATAATTTTATTTCATTATTTTAAAATAATTATGGATCTTTGGAGTTTACCAAACAGTGAAAATGATTATGAAAAAAACTATACATCAGAAAAAATGGATGTTTTTGGTAATGCAACGTGAAGACGTGGCAATATAAGAATTATATGCGTATTTGTTATACGTTTGAAAATAGTAGTATGTTTTTTAGCAATACTCTCTATTATATACTGGAGAGCAGAAATGACCTCTGTTAAATGTTGTCAAAAGTATTTGAATATGCATCATTGCACGGTTGTTAATTGGAACAATTACATGTATTAAGTCTGTACCATACCAATTAGTAAAAATTAACAAAAACAAATACAAGGACCGAAAAAATTTTTTGAAATCGATGAGTCTGTTTTCAAAAATAAAGAACAATGCTGGATGGATATTACCACACCAGTGGATATTTGGAGGCATTTGTTGCGAAACTAATGAGACATTTCTAATCGAAGTTCCTAATCATATGGTAAATGATACTAACTGCAATAAAACAAAATATAAAGGTTGGTACAACCATATTATATTCAGACTGTTGGTATGGATATGATACACATGAACTAACCATAGTTAAATACATAACATGCATGGTACAGTCAATCATACTCATAAATTTGTCGATCCAGTTACAAGGGTCGATACTCAGTATATTAAAAGTCTTTGAGGCTCGCTATATGAAGAAATATAAGCATAGGGAAACCAGATGGAATCATTTGGAGTCCTATCTGACAGAGTTTATCTGGAGACAAAACATCGAAGGAGATCAATTCGATAACATATTGAAAAATATTTCTGAAAATTGGTCCCCAAAAATAGAAATTTAGACTTATTTTAACTTACTTTTTTTTATGTTTTATGCTATAACTCTCCACTGCTGTATTAATTTTGACATTTTGTAATAATATTTCAATTTTTGATTTTGTTTTGTACTTTGTAGATAATAATTTTATGTTTTATATTATAACTCTCCACTGCTGTGATAATTTATGTAATAACTGATTATAATCATTATACTAATATACATTACTCCTACTTATATAAATGTCAATTCATGTGTACAAGTGTATTAAAAGACGGAACTACAAAGTCTGGCTGGTAGTATCAGTGATAGTAGTTGATATAACAGAATTGAGACTCGCGGCGTCAGTCGGTAGTCTGGATGACCGAAAAGTACTTTAATTTGTTATATAAATAATGATGTACAATTTTACATGTTATTTAATTGGTCTAGTATTAAACCACAATTTAATTAATTTTCAGTATGGATGGTTCAGACATTTGTTTTGAAATTGTACGTAGAGCTACAGCTGGTTTTGTTTACAGTGAAGCAGTAGCAAGGTAATATTGTATTTTGATTAAGCACATTAAATATTTATAATCTTTTTGGACAATTGCATTTATATTAATTATTTTGTAGCCATTATATGAGACAAACACTTGAAGCAATCAGATATTGTCATGAGAATGACATTATTCATAGGGACATAAAGCCTCATTGTGTCCTATTAGCCACAAAAGAGAATTCAGCTCCAGTTAAACTTGGAGGATTTGGTGTAGCAATACAGTTGCACGATGGAAGCTCTATTAATGGAGGTATTCAAAACCTCATAACACGTTAAACATTGACTGTTATTGTTTTTGTTTTATTTTTTGTTTATTTTTGTTTTGTTTTTTTTATTTTGTTTTTTTGTTTTTTTGTTTTTTTTTTAAGCAAAAAGTTTTGATGACTTGTCCCGACCTAATTTGAGTGCTAACGGCCAAGTTTATTTACAATCAGACAGACAGGGTAAGAGCACTTAAATGGGTTTAGAATTGTTGTAAAGTTGGTGTTGGTAAACTATATTTTTTTTATTTTACATTTAAAATAATTAATTTAAATAATTTTTTAATATTTTGTTATTGGTCATAAATATTTTTTTATAATAATAATTAAAAAATAACCATTTTAGAACTTAGTTATTTCAAAAATAAATTTCTGTTCATGATTTAAAGTAATATATTATGTTATTTTATACTTCATTATAAATAATTTATGAACCAATAATATTTAAATCACAAATATATACTAAATTTACTTTAAATTTAAAAATTTAAATAATGATTCAATTCCAAGGTTTTATTGAAAAATTAGAGTACATTATAACAAGCAATACAAAGATTGACATGATCAAAAATTAAAACTAGTTTCCGTTTAAATGCCGTTTACTTTTGAAGTTCAAGTATATACTTTGACAAAAACAAGATAGTTTCTTTAGTTATCATTAATAATAGTTCTTCAGTTAATAATTTTATACATTTGATTTTTTTTTTGCATGGCTTTGCGAATAATATTTTATATTATTTAGTATTTATAATTATTAATTTATTTTATAAATATATATGAGATTTATTTCTGTAATTTCTTTTTACTATGTACAATTTTGCACCTTCATGTTTTTAGCACACATCCTTATGCTCTATGATAATTTACCGGATTTGGAAAAATTGGAAGTTGCCGAGTATCAAAATGGTATTAATATGAATTGATTTTCAAAAATTAATTAGCTGGTTGTTTAACTAATTTTTGGAATTTATAGGCACTCAAAAAAATTAACAATTAGTTATTTTAATGTTATGAAGTTTGAATTTTGAAAATTAGTTTTATTTTATTTTTCTAAGTGATTGTTTTATTTATTAATTATTAATTATTAATTATTGTACAGCTTTAAAACAAATTTACATTTTTATTAGATAATTATAATATTATTCTTTATTTCAAATTAATGCTTGACAAATAATTATAAAATGTTAGTTTTTTTTATAAAAATTGAAATGATAAATAATTATAATAACATTAACATAGAGCATGGTTTGAAAATATATTTTGGTGCTAAATGTATATAGTTTTAGAAATTATAAAAATATATTGTGTTAATGTGTTTGATCATAATTGATTTCACTAAAGACAAAATCGAACTCATTTTTATTTTTATTGCAATGTTATTTTTTTTCTATTACTATTCTAAATCACTCGTTAACCACTAAATATGTGCAATAGTACAATCTAATCAAAAATATTTTGTCTAGTCTCTTTATACTTTTTGAAATATTAAACATAATAGTTAATACTATTTTAATTTATTAATTTAATATTGTATAGTTGAAGAATGTGGTAGATAAGATCAAAATACGTAGTCGTGCACAGAGTTACAAGTCAGGGGCAACAAACATTACTTGAGTACTAATAAACTGTTTAAATAGGTCTATCTTTAACACAGACAAGATTAACCTTGTAATTCAACATAATTTTTGGATAAATAAATAATTTCTCATTGATTATTATACTGTGGCCCAGTTTGGACAGTTTTACCTGTTTGGCCCCTTACAAATCTAATTGAACGATTTAGGGGCAGCAAGAACACTATGTTCCCTCTGTGTGCACTTCTATGTCAATGTAGAACCTGTATTAAATATAATATATTTTAATTCTAACATTAAGAAAAAGGTGTTGATATAGTATTTTAGTTGGTATAACAATATTGTTAATTTATAAAAATATTTTGATAATATATTCTTATAATTATTATTAAACTTGACGCTTA